ACACACACACACACACACACACACACACACACACACACATGTACACACACATCCGTTTCCCTATTTCTCTTACTGTGAGCCAAAAAAGAAGAACACTTAGAACAGACAATAATGATAATGAAACTTCAAGGATAATTGCAAATCAGCAATCCTATATAACGGATGACATGGCCTACAAAGCAGGGAAAGACGAACTGAAGAAGGTGCAAGGCACAGAGAAGTGGTGCAAACCAGCCCAAAATGTATGACCTTCAAGTGCTGTGTAAATCCAGCCCCGAGGTCACCGGTCCAAGGTGGCTCACTACAAGAGCAACCAGTAGTAGCCGAGTACCTGTGTCTTTAGCTTGACATTGTGCCACCTCCGATTTCAGTTCATCTTGTCCAGCACAAGGAGTGAAAGCTGTTATGCCCCTGATGTCAGGACAGGGTGACGAGCAAACATGAGGGTGGTTTCTGTGCTCAAGGCCTTCAGACAGACGCTCCCTCGAAACGTGACAGAAGTCCCCATGAGATGATAACCTTGCAATCTTTGGGTCATCCACAGAGGCCTCCAGCGGAGCTAAGTTCCCAGGACTTCGAGGACTCTCCATATCTGTAGCCTCCACGCCATCTCCTCTCTGTGTCAATCTGCTTGTGGTGGACATGCCACCTGCGTTACTCGATGTTACAGTTGCTGATAGCGAGCATGACGAGCTTACTAACAATGCTGATGACGTCAACAGTGATGGTAACGGCAAACGCTGTGGCGATGATGGAGTCCATCGCAATGCTGGTGATGATAAGGGCATTGATGGTGATAACGAAGACACTGGCACGAGACTGTTTTGCTGCACTTTCGTGGGTGATAGACAGGTACGTGAAGATTCGCAGTTGATTTGGGCGAGGGAGGAGTGTTCTGATTGGTCTTGGTCATCAGTAGGGCTTTCCATGTTCTCAGTTTTGATTTCAGCTCCCAACATGACATCTACTTCTTCAGCCTGAGCAAACTCTGACTGTAAACCCGGCCTGTACAAGGGTGACGAGACTGATAACGGTGATGAGATTGATGATGGTGATGGAGTCTCCATGGCTAGCAAGGACTGTAATAATGATGAAGAAGATGTTGTCCATGGGGACTCCGGTGTTGGATTTCGAGGTCTTGACAGCGCGAGCATTCTACTTGAGGGCGCTGTTGCTGAAGATTTGGGTGGCTGTTTGACTAAAGACTTCCGCGGCAACCTCTGTCTCGGCTTCCTCATTTTGGTCGACAGTATTTTTGTTTTCGACAGCGGTTCTCTTGAGTCCCCATGGGATATGGACAAGCCCCAAAATGAACTGGGCTTTTGGCCCTCAACAGCTGGCAGCGTCCCACTTTTGCCAACAGGAGCAGAAGAATTTCCATCAGGCAATATGCAGGTTGATGTAAAGGATGGAGTTACCTTCTCAAGTACCATCCATGAAGGTTTTGCATGCGTAAGTGGCTTTGTGATCCCCTCTGCAGAGGTTGTTGGATGCTCAGAATCAGACCTTTTATATGGCAGGGACACACATAGGGGTAACACCGCTGGTTCTGTTTCTGTCGCCACTGCTGCAACACCAGAAGCAACCTGTGGTGAGAGCAGACAAGAAGGTGACGATACCGATGGGAACCTTATCTTCTTAGTCCTTATGGACACAGAGTCCTGCTGCAGGCCCTCCGAGTGTCCTGATGTGTATGACGCTGATCGTTCGACTGCAGAGACGTCTGACTTCTGTCTGCACAGGCCAGCTAGGGCAACATCCGATGATATTATTGAAGGACAAACTCGCATTGTTGTCATGTCTTGGTTCCCACCCAAAGGACAAGCTTGCGCTGATATGTCCCTCTTCTCCTGGATGGTACTGCTGATTGGCCTTCTCAGACTCACAGCATGCAGCCCCACTTTCCTGAACCCTATAGTGCCCTGTGCAGTTCTGGCATGCGATTCATGAATCTTCGACAACCCATGCAAGGCATGAGAATCATGCCTCTTCTTCAGGCCGTGAGAGTCTGGTCTCCTCTTCACCCTGCGCGAACCTGGCCTCTTTGAACCACGGGAAGACCCTCTCAGCGGGGCAGTACACCAAAGGATTCCACGCTGAAGTCGTGCCTGCTGCAGTGCCTTCACAGCTATGAAACGTGCAGGCTTACCGTGGAGCATCCTCTGAGTTGGTGGCTTGCAGACGACAATTTGTAAGCTTCTTTTCAATGAATCTGATCCCGTACTAATGTGAGACCGATCTGTCTCCATGGATAGCATCGAAATGCAGACGGAATGTGGCCTTCCCGCTTCTGCAACGTTCTGGCTACCATTCGGATATCCAGAGAGGGGCATGCCAACTCTGCTGTCACTATGCGCTCGCATACAATTGCAACTGCGGATCGCTGTAATCATTCCATTTTGATGATTCATGTTTTCAAACTGGGTGGTCACCCCCCTTCCTCTCCCCCCTACGGAGCCATTATCAGAAACCGAACCAAACTGGATCTGTGAAAGCGCATTCCATCGGTAAATAGCTGACTCACAACACTTGGAGACGCCAGGGCGAAACCGTCTGCGATGCGACCGCCTCCCCTCGGCAACACATCTTGGACTTTGAATCTGCCCTTTACTACGAATGGGATGCAATTCATGATGTTGTTTAGGTAATTGCTTATGATTCTGGCAAGCATTACATGCCTCACCCATGCCAAGTCCAACTCTCTCTTTCTCCTGGCTGGTTTTCCCGCATCTCCAGTCTGGCCACATAGATGTTTGACGAGAACATGATCGTAAGGGCAGCGATGGGATTGCATTCTCATCATTCTCCATCTTAGACACATGCTCCATTATAGCCTGAGTGCTTGTCGTAATTTGCATGTGCAATTTTACAGCGCAAAGCAAATTTACCAGCCTCCTACCAGCCTCCACCTGCACGACAACTCATCAGTTTACGCAAATACATGCTGAGACATATGCAGTACACCCTTTGCATTCAAACGGTAATCCCCACCGAGACCGGCGACATAGACCCACCCGACTGTTGTTGCCGATCCAAAGCACTACCATCATGCATCTTCGACCTTACTGCATTCAACAGAGCTTGAGCTCTCAGTCACCACCAAGCATGAAGTGGTTATCGACCACTCACCTAACACCATCGCCCCAATCCTCCCCTTCCCACCCTGCTTCTTCCACAGACATTCCCACTTGCCCTCACACCTGCTGCGCTATCCCAATTCTGCCATTATGTCCGTACTCTCTCAGATGAAGTCTTCAGCACCAAGAGAGCTGATTGTTGCAAGTCCAAGTGGTGACAATGCTTGGCAGATCGGCGAGCTCGCAGAACCTTGCACTTTGTGACCAGCCAAAAGGACTGCAATATAACACACTGCAAGACATTTCAAGAACCATCAGCCAAATGGACTGCAATATAACACACTGCAAGACGTTTCAAGAACCATCACTCCCTTCTTCGTCTGAGGCTACCGTACTGGATGTTTGCGCTTGCCCACTCCAAACCTTCTTTGATAACAACAATGGCTGAAACCATGCATCAACCAACGGGACTAGCTCAGTTGGTACATCCAATGACCTGCTCAAATACAGACCCAAGTTCGAATCCAGAGTGCAATCAGATGAACGGAATAAAATACCTCGGGCCGGTCAGTTCAAAGATCATATCTCAAGATTGCCGCCCTTCGAAAACAAAAGAGAAAGAAAGGGAAAAAAAACATGCATCACAAGTCAGACTAGTTGGGGAGATTAATGTTAGAGAAGATGGTGCCTACTACCTAGCAAGCGGTTCTGCATAACACTTAACGAAGATGGCTCTCTAGCTCTCACTTTCGCCACACATCGACAGAGGGGGAGAAAGAGAGGACAGAAAGAATGTGGCTAAAGTGGGAGAAGGGAAGGATTCAAAATGTGAGACTTTTGGGGGAGCAGTGCAGCTCCCCACAGAAACACAGGAGACAGCTGACCTCAGGGGAGGAACTCTTTTTTTTGTTTTTTTTTTTTGGTTGACTCTACCACACCAATTGACAGTGAGCAACATAGCATTCCAGTTTTTCCAGGTATGCCATACACTTCTTAAAAAAAGGAAGAAAAATAAGGGTCAGCCTGAGCCCTCTTGGTAACGAAGAACGATCTGATACCGTTCCCTTCTCTTACTATTATAACTCTTTAGACCACTATATGTCAAAGAAACTGCCCTCACAAGAAGTTGCTCCATGGGCTTACAGAGAGGATAATGTATGCACAAATACAGTCCCTCAAACACTGGGACCAACACCTTTAGACAGACATATTGTTCTGTATACCTGAACCGTCACAGACTGCAACTTCTGCAAGGGCTGCAAACCTAGCCGCCTGAAGAATCCGAAACATAATATGTGATAGAAAGTCTTATGCCGATGTCTTACACTCTCTCTTTTTCTTTGTAAATAAGGGGGTGACCCCCAACATTACAGGATTTGAACTCTTGATTCACTTGTCGACAGTTAGACATATATACCGGTCAGCCACCATAAAGGCATAGGATTCAAGCACTTCATTTAAGGAGGAGGACGAGGAGATGGAGGAGATGGAGGAGCTGGAGGAGATGGAGGAGATGGAGGAGATGGAGGAGATGGAGGAGATGGAGGAAGAAGAGGAGGAGGAGGAGGAGGAGGAGGAGGAGGACGAGGACGAGGACGAGAACGAGAACGAGAACGAGAACGAGAACGAGAACGAGAACGAGAACGAGAACGAGAACAAGAACGAGAACGAGGACGAGATCGAAGACGAAGACGAAGACGAAGACGAAGACGAAGACGAAGACGAAGAAAGAGGACGAAATGAAGATGAAGAAAGAGGACGAAATGCAAAGACAAAGACAAAGACAAAGACAAAGACAAAGACAAAGACAAAGACAAAGAAAGAAGAAAGAAGAAAGAAGAAAGAAGAAGAAGAAGAAGACTATGCCTACCCACTAAGGAGCGAGCCTGAGCTCCCGGGCGGGACAAACAACGTTGCCGTGGACTTCACGTCCTCAAAAGCCGGGCAGGATATTTTGAGAGAGCTCAGAATTACGTGAAGCCGGGCTAAGGGCATTCCCGCACAACTCATGCAACGTGAAACATGGCGAGTGGATCTTCACGTAAGTCGCGGATGTATCTTGTACTAGTGGCCCATGTATCTTGCCACCTTCTATGTCAAGATGCAGTAGCCATTTTTCACGTTCCAGGAGAACTGTAGTGAGGCCCTGGTCATGCCATAAGTGGCCTAATAAAAACAGACATGCCCCAATATTTGGGGAGGGGAGGGGAGGGGGGGGGGGAGACATTTAAGACCATGACCATGGCATCAAGGAAATCATTCAAATAATGTAGACACGAGTCACACGAGGGAAAAACTACACAACGATGGCATCCTCCGCTGAAGGTGTGTCACAGTGACGATCAAATCTCCGCATTCCTGGCATATGAGCAGATCTGAAAAACAGTCGGATCCCAAACCCTAAGCCCTAACCCTGAGTTTGTCACAGATGGAATGTCAGGACTCCGAAAATCAATAACCCTGAGTTTGTCACCAATGGAACATCAGGACTCTGGAAATCAATTGCATCCTAAACCCTAAACCCTAAACCCTAAACCCTAGCCCTGAGTTTGTCCCAGCAAAACCTCAGGACTCCGAAATTCAATCAAATCCTAAGCCTTAAACCCTTCCCTGGAGTTTGTGACAGATAGAACATCAGGACTGTCATGCAAAGTCTCAACGCCTCTTCACCGCTGTGGCTCTCTCTCTCTCTCTCTCTCTCTCTCTCTCTCTCTCTCTCTCTCTCTCTCTCTCTCTCTC